TCTCTCTCTCAAATAAATAAATAAAATCTTAAAAAAAAATAAAATAAAATATACTGTGCTTTTGGGAATTAGCCAATGTATATGTGGTCACTATAGCATCGTTGTATTGAATTTCCCTTTTGGGAATAGAATGTTTTGCTTCTTGGCATTCATTTTTTGGATTTTTTGATAGGTTACTTTGATTTTGAATATAACTGTTAGTAATGAAAATGTGTTAGACCTTTATGAAACTTGTTCTCAGATGATAATAGAGTCATTTCAGAAACATGGGTCCAGAAGATTTTGTGTGTGTTGCTAATTTTCTTTCTTTTTTTTTTTTAAGGTGAGTCCACTACCATGCCATGCTGTAGGACCTTACTCTTGTAAGAGAGTATGTGGACGAACCTTAGGTTGTCAGAATCACACGTGTATGAAAGAATGCCACAGAGTAACTGAAATTGATAGCTGCGTTGGCAAAAACAAGGTAATATCCTTAGGTTGAATGTGTATGTGCTTCTAGTATGCTTGAAACATTTTTTTGAATAATTATTCCATAAGTATTTTTACATTTTGTTAGAACTTTTTTATTCCTTCTTGCCCTCATCGCTTCTCCTTCCTTGCCTCTCTTAATACAACCAGCTTTAATAGCTTCGTATATATTTCTCTTTATCTTTGTGCTAACTCATGATAATAAGCCTTTTAATGTTCTCTCAACATACTGTACTGTGTTAATACATAGGCTTTGATTTTATGATAAAAGTACAGAAATTATGTGTCTATTTAGATTGTAGGTAGTAATACCACTTCCACTTCTGTTCATTTATATCTCTGGCTTTAGTCTGGGAGCATTTGTTCTCAGCAATTTTTTTAAACCTAACATCTGTGATAGGAAATGTTCACAATTTTTTTAAAATTTTATTTTATTATGTTAGTCACCATACATCATTAGTTTTTGATGTAGTGTTCCATGATTCATTGTTTTCATATAACACTCAGTGCTCCATGCAGTACGTGCCCTCCTTAATACCCATCACCGGCCTAACCCATCATCCCACCCCCTTCCCTTTGGAACCCTCAGTTTGTTTCTCGAAGTCCATAGTCTCTCATGGTTCATCTTCCCCTCCGATTTTAATAAATTCCCAATTGCTCATTGGAAATAAAGTAAATAGCATCACAGATGTAGGGCATGTGTGTGTGAAATTCACTAAAAGCATATTCTAAAGCATATGAGAAGTCAACCATTGAAAGATCTCTAAAATTGCCATTTTACAAGGAAAAATAAAGGTAGCTAATCAAATTTTAAATGATATTAAATTTTATTTTTGAACATTTAAATTTGTCAGCACATAAAATCATCGAACAATAAAAGTATTTTCAATAGCAATAAAATATAAGAGACTCCTATTGAAACAGAGATACAGATAGTATCCTGTTCTGAATTTCCTAGGCCATATGAAAGTTTCTGGCCAAGAAAATATAGGCAGAAATGCTTTTCATCTCCAAAAATAGTCAGGGAAATCTTTATCATTAACCACTCTACTTTTTTTTGAACCGACAACATTTTCAGTTTTATTTATTTATTTATTAATTATTAACATATAATGTATTATTTGTTTCAGGGATACAGGTCTGTGATTCATCAGTCTTACACAGTTCACAGTGCTCACCATAGTACATACCTTCCCCAGTGTCCATCACCCAGCCACCCCATCCCTCCCACCCACCTCCACTCCAGCAACCCCCAGTTTGTTTCCTGAGATTAAGAGTCTCTTATGGTTTGTCTCCCTATCTGGTTTCATCTTGTTTCATTTTTCCCCTCCCTTCCCCTATGATCCTCTGTCTTGTTTCTCAAATTCCTCATATCATTGAGATCATATGATACTTATCTTTCTCTGATTGACTTCTTTCGCTTAGCATAATACCCTCTAGTTCTATCCACGTAGTTGCAAATTGCAAGATTTCATTTTTTGATGGCTGCATAATATTCCATTGTATGTATATATATATATATATATATATATATACCACATCTTCTTTATCCATTCATCTGTCGATGGACATTTAGGCTCTTTCCATAGTTTGGCTATTGTGGACATTGCTGCTATAAACATCGGGGTGCACATGCCCCTTTGGATCACTACATTTGTATCTTTGGGGTAAATGCCCACTAGTGCAATTGCTGGGACGTAGGGTAGCTCTATTTTCAACTTTTTGAGGAACCCCCATACTGTTTTCCAGAGTGGCTGCACCAGCTTGCATTCCCACCAACAGTGTAGGAGGGTTCCCCTTTCTCTGCATCCTCGCCAACATCTGTCGTTTCCTGACTTGATAATTTTAGCCATCTGACTGGTGTGAGGTGGTATCTCATTGAGGTTTTGATTTGTATTTCCCTGATGCCAAGTGATGTTGAGCACTTTTTCTTTTGTCTGTTGGCCATTTGGATGTCTTCTTTGCAGAAATATCTGTTCATTTAACCACTCTACTTTTTTTGTCCCATGTGATACAGTTAAAAACTAAGTCTCCATCCTCCAGTGTCCCAGAATGACTGATTTGCCAGAGTCCCCTGCCAGGCTACATTTGACATGGTGTGTGAATAAAAAAATAAACTTTTGTTATATAAAAAATTACATATTTTAAAAATATTTAATTTTTTTTGTAGACTTCCATTCTTCAGGGAATCATAATACTATTAGCAAGTGTGTTTAATGAGGAATAAGCAAACATTTTAAGATTCATTTTATTAACTAACATTAAATTTACAAATGTTTAAGTTATTAATATGAATTGTAATTGAAAATTTCACTTGCATTGTTATTTTTTTGGTCTTTGATTTGGTGATTGTAAAGCATGATAACCTAAGCCTCCATAGTATCATTCTCGCTCATGTGCAGCCATGTGAATGTATAGCTTATAATTTCTTCATCGATCCATGCTTTAATCCTTAATAAAAATGTACTTATGATAAAATGAAAAAGATATTAGAATTATAAGATCATACTAATATAATAATTCAAAACCACTTTAGTGAGAATATAGCTGCTGTATGGCTTTCCTCCTCTGGATTTCCAGAACATCAAGTGAGTTGGAAAAAAAAACTCACTTCAAGAGCTGATATGACACTGATTGGGGAATTATCTTGGATTATCCCAGCATTGCGTCATGGGTAATGGCTGTGGTAAAATATGGGTTATAAGTTATGTGCAGTTCTTAATTTAGCTACAAGTCCATCTTTATCTCCCATTCAAGGAAGGCTGATGCAGTGTGAGTGAGTGAAAATTACATTATTTGGGGGATTACTTTGTAGTCATTAAAATTTATATATTAAAAATGAAGTAATTCATAAACTCTTTAAAATGAATTCCTTACTGTAACATCTCAAGTGAGACCCATTGGAGAAGATCTCCTTGTATGTCTCTCTTGACCCAAATGGCTCTGGAATTCTAATGCAGTTTCTACCTTGAATTCTAGCACAGAGCCTACGACATAGCAGGTATTTAAAAGTGTTTATTGAATTGACTGGAATCAAAACTCTTTTGCTTCTAGTCTCTGTTTTGGTCTCTTTCCCTGGCCTTACTGGCAGATCTCAGTCCAATCAAGGCTATTCTTACAAGCAATTAGCAACAAATATATCCCTATTGTCTAATTCATTAGCAACACATATATCCCTATTGTCTAATTCATTGGCTGGAGTGAGTGGAACAGTGCTTAACTGGGGAAAGGTGTGAGACTGATGGCAAATGAAGTGTGTGTATTTCCCAAGCAAACCTGGGTACAAATATTTGTGAGTGACTGAAAGAAGAAATAATGAAGATAGTCTTTTCTCTTTGGGAAAAAAATGTACCAAAAAAAAAATATATATGTACATAATCACACATAGGCACATATATTATATAATTATGTATGTGATAGACCCTTGCCATGCAGTGTTGTCTGAGTGATGGGCATCACCTGGAATCTTGTTGGAAATGCAAAATCTCAGGTCTTACCTCAGTATTTTAACGATTGCCAAGTGATTGATCATGCACAAAAATGTTTGAGAATCACTGCTAAGGGCAATGTGTGTGATGTGTGATGTTTCATTGATTTAAAAAAAAATTTTGTTATGATCATCAGTCTCACTAAGAGATTGGAACTTAATTTTTCCAGTCGTTAAAAATAAGGGATAATTTTGTAATGTGATAGAGGTACTAATTATTGCTACAATGACAATCTTACTACAATATGTAAATGTTGAACACCTTAAATTTACAAAATGTCAAATATATGTTAATAAAATGGGAAAAAAAGAATTTTACCTATCAAGATTTATTTTTCAATTTGTAAAGTAACCCAAATGTTTATTCTGCTTTCCTTCTCATCATCTCATTACTTAAAATTAGGATTGCTGTCTTCCCTGGATTTCCAGCTGTCCCCCATGAATCAGAAAAAAAACTCATTTTAAAAGCTGATATGACTGATTAGGGAATTATTGTGGATTATCCCAATATTGTTCCCTGGGTTAAAATTTGTTTTCTTTTTTTTTTTAAAGGAGAACTGTGTAAGATACTTGACAGCCAGGCTTGCTGTATTTCTGAATTAAGATAGTTTCTTCTGGAAGATAGAATTTGGTATTGGAAGTGATCCAGGAAGAGAGCTTAGCAAGTACAGATTTAGTGATTTTTTTTTTTCGTAATTGGAAGGAAGGAGCCTCATACCATCAATATAATTCTTCTTTTGCAGATAGGGAAACTGAAGGTTGTCAAGCGACTTGTTCATGATCATGTAACAGGACAGTAGTAATCAGAGTAGTAGCATCCCTGTCTTAACTCCCAGCCCCATATGTTCTTCTGTTCACGTTATTTAAGTGAAAGATTATTGCAGGTGTACCATGTAGCCAGGAAAAAACAAGTGAAACAGACTGTGTGTGTCATCTTTGGTTATATGTGCATATTTTGAGATTCCTCAGCCTACCTTTCTCCTAGTCTTTCCCATTTCAGAAAGTTGTATTACCAGTTTTACCCAGTTCTGCTGATTAAAGGGAGGGACATTTCTTGATTTCTTTCTTCATTGTCCTTGTCTCACAACATCCTTGTCAGGTTTATCTTCAAAGTACATCGCTGAATTTGCCCATTTCTTAAAATGTCCACCACTAACATCCTCATTCAAGCCATCCTCATCTCCGCTGGAGATGTCTGTACTATTCTCCCAGCCAGCTTCTCTACTCCCACTCTTCTCTCACTGCATCAGCTAGATTCATCTTTTAAAAATGTAAGTTAAAAAAAAAAATGTAAGTCAGGTGTGTTACCTCCCTGTTCAAAACCCATCAGTAGCTTTCAGTTACTCTTAGGATAAAATCCAAATGGCCTTATGATGGCCTATAAGGTTTTACAATGATCTAACTTCTGACTGCCTTTCCGCCCTCTTCACTCATCACTCACGTGCTCATTTCTACTTCTGTTCTTGCTATTTCTTGAATGTTCCAAATTTGTTCTGTGTCAGAGGCTTTGCACTTAGTGTTCTTTTCTCTGGGACTCTACATTCTTATGGCTCTCTCCCTTATTTATTCTGTTCAAACATGAACTTTATCAGATAGGCTTCCTTCTTATTGCTCCTTTTACTCCCTCTTAACCTGCTTTTTCTTTTTTCAGAGTATTTATGAAGACATTCTATTATGTTCTTTACCTCCCCCACTTAAATTTAAGTTTCTTAGGTCAGGGATCTCTCCCATTTTGCATATTCCCAGCATGTGAATAATTCCTGGCATATGATGCTGAAAGAGTGTAGAATAAATTAATACTCTTTTAAAAATAAAAAATAGAAATTATAGAAGAATGTCTCATAATTGAAACACTTTTTCTTTTTAATCCTACATGTCAAAAATAGCTTAGATTTTTATTGACATAATCACTCTTTTGTAGTCATGGCTATACTTAGAAATGATAACAAAATTTTTAAACTTTAAGACTTAGTATCCCTGTCTATAGCTCTCTTTATCTCATGTATGACATGTGAAAATAAATAATAGCCTGCAATAATAATTTTTAAACTTCTTTAGTAGGTAGATGATAGTTAAATTATTAAATTCCTAGAGCAGAGATGTGCCTTGTTGAGTTACATTGAAATACATATATTTGTAAATGTAATTTTGGTTCATTGAAGTACATTAAAACATAAACTGCTGGTCATTCTCCTTTTTCCCTTTTATGCATGTTTCTCTTTGGCAAGGTGGGAGCAGTGTCTCCAGAACATTGTATGCTTTGGGAATTTTTATTTATGTATTAACAGAGTGTTGATTTCTTTAGTTTGATGGTGATCATGTTTGTTGGGTGGAGATGAATTAACAGTGTTTTATTTTGGGGTGCCTGGGTGGCTCAGTTGGTTAAGCGTCTGCCTTTGGCTCAGGTCATGATCCCGGGGTCCTGGGATCGAGCCCCGCATCGCTTCTCCCTCTGCCTCCATCACTCCTCCTGCTTGTGCTCTCCCTCTTTCCCTCTCTCTCTCTCAAATTAATAAAATATAAAAAAAAACAATGTTTTAATTTGTTCTACTGACTATTCTTTAGGAACTAATTTACATTTTTAGTAGGAATACTCACAATCAAGTACAATTTCAAGATGAGGCAGTTTGATTTAATGAGGTTTGTAGACATAAAACTTTGTGAATAGTGGTCATATTGATAATCTTGCTGTTCTTCATTTTGAATATGTATTTTTTCATTTTGGATATTTTTAAGAGTGAAAGCATGCACCATTTTATTAACTGTATTCCTAAGAGCTGCAAAAGTGTTTTCTTTTAATGGGATACATACATTTTATAATTTTAATGTATAGAAATGTTAGACTTCTGTACTTAGATGATTTATTTCCTTACTACCTATCAGGCTGGCCCAGAATGCCTTCAGTGTGAAGAAGGGTGCTCTAAATCACGGCCTCTGGGTTGTCCCCATCCATGTGTTTTGCCGTGTCATCCTGGAGAATGTCCTCCTTGTGTTCAGATGCTTAGAATAAAATGTCACTGCAAGATCACAAGCCTATATGTGGAATGTAGGTAAGTGGACTGAAGAAATATTCTTGTTTTACTATAATTATTTTTAACTAGTATCTTTTTATAATTCAGAACCCTATAAAGAGTACTTCAAGGAACATTATTCAGTGTCGCCTGTAGATGATAGAAGACTAGATTTTCCAGTAGGGACCTGAAGAAAGAAATGTAGAATATTTCACCTTGTAAACACAATTCAAAGACAATACAATTCAAAGACAATTATGGTTTTTTTTCCATTTGGGGATTCTGTATAAGATTTTTTAAGGAAAAAGGTTGTATCGCTGCTTTAAAAAATATAGAAACATTCCTATAGCAGATTGCTCGAATAACAGGGTCAAACTAGAATTTTGTTGGATGAAAAGTTGAAGTGCACATAGTTACTGAGGCATAATTTTTAAATTACAGACTTTTATTACAAATGTAGCTATTATGGCATTCGTCATAGTAGGCTGTGACTTCTATATTTCCTTTACTTAAAAAATATGTACACTTAATAAAATGCATGTTTTTGCTTGTGGGTTATGTGGAGGGGAAAAAAATTCCCATTTTTTTCTACTTAATCACAATCTAACATAATTTACTAACTTGTTCAGCTTCATTCACCCGTTTGTAAAGTGGGCTCTTTGTAAGTGTATTTTATTGAAGTTAAATTTGGGAATATGACTTTGTTTCTGATTTTTTGAACATAAGTACTTTTTGAAAAAATGCCTGTTAATACTAAATTTGCTTAAAGATTTTATTTATTTATTTGACAGAGAGTGAGCGAGAGAGAGAGCACGTGAAGGGGGAGGGTCAGAGGGAGAAGCAGTATCCCCACTGAGCAGGGAGCCCAATGTGGGACTTAATTCTGGGACTCTGGGATCATGATCTGAGTTGAAGGTAGTCACTTAACCAACTGAACCACCTAGGCACCTTAAATTTGTTTTTGTCACTTATACTCTAGGCTCATGTTTTCTTAAATTGGAAAAGTCAAATTTTATTCTTTTTAAATATGAAAATTGTTTTGTTGGAATTTTAAGAATAAAATATTACTTGAGCTTTAGAAGTTTTATAGGGAAAGTGAAGATGGCAATTTTGCTTTATTAATGAGGGATACTGAGGAAAGAGATTTTCTTTGGTCTTGCAGGGCCTGAATTTCCCTTTCTTACTTCTTTTTCCCTTTGTCATACAGTCTCCAAAGGGTGACTTTACTTTTTTACCTTCTTGTCCAGAGTGTTGCCTTTCCAAGATTGGCTCCTTGATTCTTGTGCACTTTTTAAAGTTTCTTCCCATAGTTAGTGCTGTGATCTACCAAGATTTGTCACATCTGGGTGGACTTTCTCTTTTTGGTGTGATGTTAGCTCAGTTACCCTTTTCTCTTTTCTGCTCAGTTTTTCCGGAACTCTCCTGGTTCTCTGAAATGATTTGCTGAGGGAGCTTGAGAAATAGCTCTGCTATGAATTGGTATTTATTTTTCTACTTATAGGTAATTTTGAAATTTGTAGAAATTTGTATCTTCTAGTTATTTGGAAGTTATGGGATTTGAGTGATTTTATTAATGAGCTGAATGTTTTTAGGGGGGATGTGTGGACATATATGGATTGAGGTGGCTTCCATTACTACAGTTGTCTGGAGTTCCTTTTTCCTTTCCTTGAATACATATTTGAAGTGTGTGTTTTTCAGCAGAATACACATTCTTTTCCAGTGTACATGGAACATTCTCCAGAATAGATCACATATTAGGTTACAAAAGAGGCCTCCACAAATACAAAAAGATTAAAGCCATACCATGCACCTTTTCTGACCACAACACTATGAAACTAGGAGTCAACCACAAGAAAAAATCTGGAAAAACCACAAATACATGGAGGTTAAAGAACATGCTACTAAGCAATGAATGGACCAACCAGGAAACCAAAGAAGAAATAAAGAAAAAAATACATGGAAACAAATGAAAATGAAAACACAATGGTCCAAAACCTTTGGGATGCAGCAAAAATGGTCCTAAGAGGGAAGAATAGAGCAATACAGGCCTACCTCAGGAAGCAAGAAAAATCTCAAATAAACAACCTAACCTTACACCTAAAGGAATTAGAAAAAGAGCAACAAATGAAGCCTAAAGCCAGCAGAAGGAAGGAAATAATAGAAATAAATGATATAGAAAAGAAAACAATAGAACAGATCAATGAAACAAGGAGCTGGTTCTTTGAAAAAAATTAATAAAATTGATAAACCTCTAGCCAGACTTATCAGAAAGAAAAGAGAGAGGACCCAAATAAATAAAATCACAAATGAGAAGAAATAACATCCAGTATCATAGAAATACAAACAATTAGCGTATCATGAAAAACTGTATGCCAACAAAATGAACAAACTAGGAGAAATGAATACATTCTTAGAAACATATAAACTATGAAAACTGAAACAGGAAGAAATAGAAAACTTGAACATACGGGTAACCAGCAAAGAAATTGAATCAGTAATTGAAAAACTCCCAACAAACAAAAGTATAGGACCAGATGGCTTCACAGGAGAATTCTACCAAACATTTAGAGAAGAGTTAACAACTGTTCTTCTCAAACTATTCCAAAAAATAGAAAAAGGAAGGAAACTTTTAAATTCATTCTATGAGGCCAGCATTACCCTGATGTCAAAACCAGATAAAGATATCACTAAAAAAGAGAACTACAGGCCAATATTCCTGATGAACATAGATGCAGAAATTCTAAACAAAATACTAGCAAACTGAATCCAACATTAAAAAAAAAAAAAAATCATTTGCTGTGACCAAGTGGGATTAAATCCTGGGCAGCAAGTGTGGTTCAATATTCACAAATCAATGTGCTATATCACATTAATAGGAGAAAGGATTAAAACCATATGATCCTTTTGATAGATGCAGAAAAAGCATTTGACAAAGTACAACATCCATTCATAATAAAATCCCTCAACGAAGTAGACTTAGAGGGAACATACCTCAATGTGATAAAGGCCATATATGAAAAGCCCACAGCTGATATCATCCTCATTGGGGAGAAACTGAGAACTTTCCCTCTATGATCAGGAACAAGACAGAGATGGCCATTCTCACTTTTATTCAAAATAGTACTGGAACTCCTAGCCACAGCAATCAGACAACAAAAAGAAATAAAAGGCATCCAAACTGGCAAGGAAGAAGTCAGACTTTCACTATTTGCAGATGGCATATGGTACTCTCTAGAGAGAGCCCAAAAGGCTCTACTCAAAAGGCTGCTAGAACTGATAAATGAATTCAGTAAAGTCAAGGATACAAAAATATACAGAAATCTGTTAGCATTTCTATACACCAATAATGCAGCAGAAAGAGAAACCAAGGAATCAGTCCCATTTACAACTGTACCAAAAACCATAAGATACCCAGGAATAAACCTAACCAAAGAGGTGAAAGACCTGTACTCTGAAAACTATAAAACACTGATGAACGAAATTGAAGATGACACAAAGAAACAGACATCCCATGCTCATGTATTAGAAGAACAAATATTATTAAAACGCCTATATTACCCAAAGCAGGCTATACATTTAATGCAATCCCTATCAAAATACCACCAGCATTTTCCACAGAGCTAGAACACTCAATCCTAAAATTTGTATGGAACTACAGAAGACCCCCAATAGCCAAAGCAGCCTTGAAAAAGAAATGTAAAGCTGGAGGCATCACAATTCCAGACTTCGAGTTATATTACAAAGCTGTGGTAATCAAAACAGTATGGTACTAGGACAAAAAAAGACACATATATCAGGGGAACAGGATAGAAAACCCAGAAATGAACCCACAAATATATGGGAAGTTAATCTTCTACAAAGCAGGAAAGAATATCTAATGGAAAAAAGACAATCTCTTCAACAAATGGTGTTGGGAAAACTGGACAGCAACATGCAAAAGAATGAACCGGGACCACTTTCTCACACCATACACAAAAATAAATTCAAAATGGATTGAAGATCTAAATATGAGTCAGGAAACCGTTAAAATCTTTGAAGAGAACACAGGTGGTAACTTCTTTGACATTGGCAGTAGCAACTTCTTACTGATGTCTCCTGAGGCAAAGGAAACAAAACCAAACAAACTATTGGGACTTCATCAAAGTAAAAAACTCTGCACAGCAAAGGAAACAATCAATAAAACTAAAAGGCAGCCTATGGAATGGGAGAAAATATTTGCAAATGACATATCTGAAAAAGGGTTACTATCCAAAATATGTAGAGAACTTATAAAACTCAACATCCAAAAAATGGATAATTGAATTACAAAATGGGCCAAAGACATGAATAGATATTTTGCCAAAGAATACCTACAGATGGCCAACAGACACATGAAAAGATGCTCAACATCACTCTCAGGGAGAGGCATACCAAACTATAATACCATAACTATAATGAGATATCACCACACCCTGTCAGAATGGCTAAAGTCAAGAATGCAAGAAACAACAGTTGTTGGTGAGGATGTAGAGAAAGGGGGAACCCTCTTGCACTGTTGGTGGGAATGCAGGCTGGTGCAGCCACTGTGGAAAACAGTACAGAGTATCCTCAAAACATTAAAAATAGAACTACCCTATGATCCTGCTATTGCACTACTAGGTATTTACCCAAAGAATACAAAAATACTAATTTGAAGACATACATGCACCCTGATGTTTATAGCAGTTCTATAATAGCTAAATTATAGAAACAGCCCAAATGTCAATCAACTGATGAATGGGTGAAGATGTATATGTATGTACAATGGAATATTACTGAGCCATAAAAAAGAAAGAAATCTTGCCATTTGCAATGACATGGATGGAGATAGAGAGTATTATGCAAAGTGAGATAAGTCAGTCAAAGACAAATACGATGATTTCACTCACATATGGAATTTAAGATAGAAAACAAGCAAAGGGGGGAAAAAAGTGAGTGGTAAACCAAGAAACAGACTCTTAACTATAGAGAACAAACTGATGGTTACTAAAGGGAAGTGGGTGGGGGGATGGGTGAAATAGGTGATGGGGATTAAGGAGTGCACTTGTGATGAGCACTAGGTGTTGTATGAAAGTATTGGATCACTATATTGTACACCTGAAACTAGTATTACACTGTACATTAATTGGAATTTAAATAAAAACTTTAAAAAAAATCACAGTGAGATACAGCTACATACCTGTTAGCACGGCTAAAATTAAAAAGACAAAAAAAAAAGACAAAAGACTGACAGTATTAAGTGTTGGAGAGGATATGGAAGAATTAGAACTCAGACACTGCTAATATGAATGTAAAATGAAACAGCCACTTGGAAGAAGGTTTAGCAGTTTCTTAAAAAGTTATACGTCTGCCCGCCATATGATACAACCATTCTATTCCTAGGTACTTAACCAAGAGAAATGAAATGTATGTCCATACAAGATTTGTACATGAATGTTCACAATATTTTTATATGTAATAACCCAAAACTGGAAATAATCCAAATGTCCAACAGCAGGTGAATAAACAAGTGGTAGGGGACGCCTGGGTGGCTCAGTCGTTAAGCGTCTGCCTTTGGCTCAGGTCATGATCCCAGGGTCTTTGGATCGAGCCCCGCATCAGGCTCCCTGCTCCGCGGGAAGCCTGCTTCTCCCTCTCCCACTCCCCCTGCTTGTGTTCCCTCTCTCGCTGTGTCTGTCTCTGCCAAATAAATAAATAAAATCTTAAAAAAATAAACAAGTGGTAGTATATCCATACAATGGAATAAATTCAGCAATAAAAATAAACTATCATTACTTGCAATATCATGAATGAACCTCAAAATGTGAAATCTCAAGATTTAAGTGAAAGAAGCCAAACAAAAAAGACTAATGCTCTATGATTTGATTATGTGAAATTCTTGAAAATGGAAGCTAATCTACACAATAAAAAGCATATCAGTGGTTGCCTATCAGGTGATGGGCAATATAAAGAGGTTCCAAAGGGACACAGGAAACTTTTGAGGGTGATGGGTATGTCCATTATCTTGATTGTGGTGATGGTTTCATAGGTGTAAACATATGTCAAGTCTTACCAGATTTTCCACTTCAGATGTGTACATTATTGTGTTCTGCATCATACCTTAATAAATCTGTTTTTAAAAGCCCTCCAAAAACATGGAGTGTATGTTTTTATAGAGAATTCTTCAGACTCAGTATTCATTGTGATAATTTCATTTACTTTCAATTCAGTGAATTATTTCATATTTTTAGTTCTTTTCTGCTTCATGTAATTTCTTCTATAGAAATTAGATATAAGAGATACAGGTGTTGGAAAATTAGTTGATTCCTAATTATAAAGTGAAAGGAACAAAATGAATATTAACTCTTAAGTTTCTTAAGTTCAGAGGTGAGCTGGGATGCCTGGGTGGCTGAGTTGGTTAAGCATCTGCCTTCAGCTCAGGTCATGATCCCAGAGTCCCAGGATTGAGTCCCAGGATCGAGTTCCGCATTGGGCTCCCTGCTCAGTGGGGAGCCTGCTTCTCCCTCCTCTACTCCCCCTGCTTGTGCTCTCTCTCTCTCTCAAAGAAATAAATAAAATCTTTAAAAAAAAGGAAATTTCAGAGGTGAGCACCATACCTGTAAGAATGAAAATAGGACTTTTAATAGAGCCAGTATAAAGACTTTGTGATATTAAGTGAATTTTTGCTAAGAAAATTGCATATGTTACCTTAGAGTACATTTATGCTAATTTATACATATACTTAAGATAATAGTTTTAACGTTAGTTAGGCTAAACTTATGGTATATTTTGGCAATTATGTCTAATAAAGGGAAATAAAAGGAAAAGAAAGAATCAAAAGGAGAGGAAAGATAATGGGAAGAGAATACTGACCTACATGTGATAGGGATTTTAAGGTTGTCACTAGTTACTGACATGCAGTGTCTATTGTGATTATATTCAACTGTCTGTGAGAAGGTAGTTTAATTCCTTGGTGTTTGTGACTTTTCCTGAATTGCCCACCAAGCAAATAGAAGAGCACACAGACTGATCTAAAATGATCAAATCTAAAATGAATCCATTTCTAACATTGATAGCTTACAAACTAAAAAAGCTTTCCTAAAATAAGCTTACTAAATTCTTCAACTCGAAGTAATTTTTTGTTGTTGTTATTTAAGAAACAAAACAAACAAGCATAGGGAAAAAAAGAGAGAGGCAAACCAAGAAACAAGACTCTTAACTCTAGAGAACAAACTGCTGGTCGCCAGAGGGGAGGTGGTTGGGGGGATGGGGGAAACAGGTGATGGGGATTAAGGAGGGCACTTGTGATGAGCACCGGGTGTTGTATGGAAGTGTTGAATCACTATATTGCACACCTGAAACCAATATTACAATTTATGTAACTAAATTGGAATTTAAATAAAAACTTCTAAAAAAATCTGGGTGAGCATTTTCTGTGTCAGTTTTTAAGTAATATATTGAACCATTAGTTTTTAAAATCTTTTATGTAGAAGCTTTAGGAAGATGATAGTTATGAATAATGATTGCTCTACAGGGGAAGATCATATGAAACTTTTTTTTTTTAAGATTTTACCCATTTATTTGAGAAAGAGAGAGAGTGCACGAGGGCACGCGGGGGAAGGGGTAGAGGGAGAGAGAATTTCCAACAGACTCTGGGCTGCGCGTGGAGCCCCACTTGAGGCTTGATTCCCTCACCCTGAGATCATGACCCGAGCCAGAATTAAGAGTCAGATGCTTAAGGGATTGAGCCACCCAGGAACCCCTTAATAGCAGGACCTATTAAAGGCCAGGCACAGATGATGTTTTGTGTGTGTTTTATACTTCCTTTTTGCAGTGATTGCCCTTTTGACATTTGATTTGTTGGTAATAGATAAAGGGCTGGAAGGTTTCAGTTATCAGACCAGGTAAGTAATTTGAAGACAGTTGTTACAGATGATACACAGTTAAAATATTTTTCAAGAAGAAATGAAATAAAACAATTTTATGGATATTTTGGAAATTATGTTTAGAGAGATTATGCTATAAAATGGACTTTGGTTTGAATGTCATCAAAACTTCCTCTTATTTTTAGAAAGATAACCACAGCTGATGTAAATGAAAAGAACCTCCTTAGTTGTTGCAAAAATCAATGTCCTAAAGAGGTAAGCTTTAATAGAACCTTTTAAGTTGTATTTCTTGGGCATTGTTTCTCTTAGATTTTCTCTTTTCTTCTTGGTCTTCTTATTTCAGGTCTTTTTTGAACATGCTAGAAATGTGGGTCCAGAGAGGAAAATGTGATTGATGTCTATAAAAATGTAATACATACTAACTGTAGATGTACATCTCTTTATGAAATTTTGGGGTATTAGAACTAGGAATGACCCTTTGAAGATTTTTTAAAAGCGGTTTTAAAGATAGCTTATATACATAATATATTAAAGTATTGACCTAATGTTTACCCCTCCACCCCTTAAAATATAAATAGATGAAGAACTCTGTGGGTCATAGGCAGTTAGGCAGTAAATCCATAGTAGGTTATTTAAAAAGCATATTTGTGCGTGTGTGTGTTTGTGTGTGTGAACTTTAAGGTTCATTATTATCTTGAATTAATATAAAGCACTTATATATAGAGTTTTATTTTTAAAGAATCTGATGCTTGTATATGCATTGTATTTGTACTGAAAGTATCAAAATAGTTTAGAAAAATTGTTCAGAGTATAAAGTAAAAAAAAAACTCACCGGTGATTTATCTTGGTGATAATTTGGAAACCAAAGTGGTCTATCTATGATTGGTCAATTTATTTATTTATTTATTTTTTATAATTGGTCAGTTTAAAAGTCAGAGTATTTCCTTTGTTATTGTTGGTGGTGTGGCAGTGATAGTGATTTGATTTGGTTGGACATTTATAAAGGAAATCCTTTTGACTTACACATGTACTAACAGTACCACTTTAATTTTAATTCTTTGTCTTTACGCACTTATCTGTTTCTCAACCTCTTTAGAGTCAGGGAGAGATGATGACAAAGCCTTTAATATAGTAGTCATTCTCTGATTAAATAAAAACAGAAATTGATGCATAATATGCCTTTTTGTTAACAATATTTCCTTTTTTTTTAATAACATATACTGTATTATTTGTTTCAGGGGTACAGGTCTGTGATTCATCAGTGTTACCCAGTTCACAGCGCTCACCATAGCACATACCCTCCCCAGTGTCCATCACTTAGCCAGTCCATCCCTCCCACCCCCCTCCACTCCAGCAACCCTCAGTTTGTTTCCTGAGATTAAGAGTCTCTTATGGTTTGTCTCCCTCTCTGGTTTCGTCTTGTTTCGTTTTTTCCTCTTAACTAAAACTTGGATGCTTTTTATGGATTTCTGTTTAAGAACTATTGTAAATTGAACTTGAGTATTTTAAAAGTTATGTAAGATTATTAAAAGGGAGACCGTTTCAAGCAATAAATGATTATTTTAATAACTCTGTCTTTGTTATATAAGTGAAACTAAGGGCATTGGGATATTTCAAATTTAATTTTTTGATTTCTTCAAATCCTGACTTCTTCCTTGTTAAAATAAATTTTCTTCTGTTCAAATTCAGATTCCAGGTAGTAAGTGGTTGAGAATGTTACATTTTTAATGATTCAGTAACTTGGTATGAGATTGTAGTTTGAAATAACAAAGTTAAATTTAGGGATTGCTAATTTGTAGTTTAGCATTTCCTTGGCTATGATTCAGTTGTGATAATGTTACGATATTTGGTGGGACTAGATGAGTGATCACTGTTTATATAAAAATTTGTTTTCCATGCTCATGATTTTTGGACTCTAGGCCCGTCTGGAGCCCTAGTATTGCTGGAGTCTCCTTGGGGTCTCTTGAAATAAATAGCCTTAGTTTGCGAACAATCCAAGTAGCTGTTATAGTTCCAAACAGTCTAAGAGTGGACAGGTGAATATCCTTGTGTCTAATAGAACTTATTCTAGTTTATGGCCTCTGGACATTGTTAAGACTACAGCAGTACTTCTCAAACAATCAGTTCAAGGGCTTCTTAAAACAGATTAATGGGCCCTGCCCCAGAGTTTCTGATTTTGAGGGCCTGGAGTAGGGGCCCAAGAATTTGCATTTCTAATCTTCTATGTAATAGTGATATTGTTGGTCTGGCATTACAGTTTTGAGACCCACTGAGCTATAGAATGAAGTCATACTTAGGATCAACCAAGAACTGTGTCATTTGAATCTGCAGTAGGTATCTTATACTTGGAGTTAAGGTATGGGATTATGATAAATTCTGTTGTACTGATAAATTCTTGTTTTCTTTCTCCTCCCTTCCCCATACTATAGATTTCTTGGGGGCAGGCCCTATGTCATATTTATCCTTGTATCCAGCCGCTTGTTCCCTGTTTGTACACATTAGGCGGTGGGTAAATGTTTATGTGAGTGTGAATGAAACTGACCTGTGGAAGTGGTATAGACATAGCCTTCTAGCGCCACTGATGCTCTCGTATATACTCTCTATCTTCTGGACTGGTTTGAATTTAACAAAAAGAAGATATAAAGATACCATGAAGAACTGCACCTTTAAACTGTGCCCCACATATATAATTCTACTTTTAAAAATTATTTCTGAATTTGATTTTATCATCCCTGTGAAGCTTTTCTGTTTTTTACTTGAGCGAATTATTTAATGTTACTGTAACTTAAATTGTTCATGTATAAAATGGGGGCAATAATACTACTCACTTCTGAGTGCTGAGTATTAATGAGTTAAGAACATGTAAATGTCTTAGTGCTATATATGTGCTAGCTATGGTGATGGTGGGATGGGTATTTATCCATAAACAGTATTGTTTTGCAAGCTTTCTTTAATTATTTTTAAAGAGCTTTTTTTAATTGTTGGGATTAAAATGGAACATTTCGAACTAGATAGTATTGGTTCTTGGTGAGGTGTTTGAAATGACATATGCAAGTGTTAGCAGAATGATGTTAAAGGGTGAGTAGAGTAGAAGAAAACCATCCCACGTTGAGTGGAAAGAGTAGGACATCTCATCTTTAAATGAATATCAAGGTTGGGTGTTTTAGAAAAACCTCTATTTTTTGGTATGAAGTCTGTAATGAAGATACAGTCATTATATATTCATTTTAATCGGCTTCCTTTGGAACTGCTTTTCAGCTCTTTCAGAATATAAACTGGCTTTTGAGATAACACGTACTTGCACACCTGGTTTTTTTTAAACAATGAAATTACTACCTACTCAAAAGTACATAATACATATATGGACAATTTAACAAATAGTTAAAAAGTCAACACCACATAACTTCACCCAGGTCAAAAAAATACAGTATTATTACATCTCAGAAGTCTGCCAAAGTCCCTGTCTGGCTGTGCTTCCCCCCGCCGTCCTATTTGTTACCTCTATCTGCCTTTTATAGTAACTATTTCCTTGCTTATATTTATGGTTGTCACTACTTATATTTGTATCTGGAAACAACATTGTTTGCTTAATTTTATACTAAAAGTTCAAAAGCATGAACTTTTGTGACCTTAGTTTGCTCTCCATTATGTTTGTCATGTTTATTGCATGTGGCTATAGTCTTATTTCCATTGTACGAGTATACTATGGTTTACTGTATTTGTTTTACTCTGGGTAGATATTTGAGTTATTTCCAATTCCAAACTCATACTTTATTCCAAAATATTGCTATGAACATTCTTGTTTGTGCATTCTAGTGTATGTGTATATAGATTTCTCTAGGCATATGGTGGTGCCATTGCTTGGTCATAGGGAATGTATAATTTCAACTTAATGTCATATTAATTTCCAAAATAGTTGTACAATTTACTATCAGTCAATTTTCTAATTTACCACCAGTATTTTAAAGTGCTTGTTGTGACATATCCTTGCCAACACTTGGTATTGTCAGAGTTTTAAATTTTTGCCAGTCTTGTGACATTTTGTTATTTTAATTTACATTTTCCTGATTCCTGGTGACTTTTAATACTTTTTCAGGATTAATGGCAATACTTTTGTCTCTGGGACATATATTGGATACCAGCATAATATACTTCTGGATGAATTTCAGTTCTCCTTGTAAGCTAGAGTAATCAGTTTCATTAACTTATCACAAAAAGAAGATATATTTGGAGGATATTGGGGACCAGTTCATAGACTCTGAAGGAAATGCTGTACAGCAAGCTTTGGGAAGGGCAGAATCTGGGCAGCCCCCAGGGGCTTGCCAGCAGGAGCTCGGGGCTCTGTACTGAGAGGACTGTTCAAACCACCACCTCCTTTTTAGTTTTCAGATTATCAGGAGAGAAAATCTGATTGATCTCCTTAGGTCGAGGGGCTCCCTTGGCATAGGCAGCAAAAGACAGGAGACTAGAATGGATAGCATAGCCATGGCCATGAGAAAATTGCGATGAGCCAGGTAGCCATCCCAATTTATGTCTTCTGTATCTTCTACCAGCAGTGGGGGTGAAAGGCGTGGAGATTCATGGAAGAATTGTTAGATGGGGTAACAGGATCAAATGCAGTATTCAGAGAAACGATACATTTTGAAGGCAGAAGATTCAGCCAGAGACAAGAGAGACTTTCAAGATGGTAGTGAAATTGTGAAGAGTGACCCTGAGGTCTTTTAGGAGGCAGAAAGATATAACATCCAGACCAGTGTTTGTAGCTTTTCATCAACCCCCAACACATTGAAAAGATAGAACATTATAGCCATGATTCAGTGTAATTTCAGAAAGATCTTTATTGATTGTGACAGGCTTCCCTAGTCACTTTCCCCTTTAGAATTATTGATTGAAAGTAGAGTGGTTAGTTACTTTTAGAGCAGATGACTGCTGTAATTACCTCACAGGTTAAAGAAGGAACAAGAGACTACAGAGACATGTTTTGAGAAGAAGAGAGGCTAGGTGGTCAGCTGATGCCAAATGTTTGTCTTCTTTGTGAAGTCAGGCTAGAGGCACTGGCAGGAATGAAGGTGGGAATAAAGTTGAGACAAAGACTTTATAAACAGACCTGTGAGGCAGGTATATGACAGTGAATAAATATTGAGCTTATTAAGCAGTGTTCGGGGCCTCGTTAGGTGTAGAGAGAAACAAAACTGAAGTGGTCCAGGAATGCTAGTGTGGAACTCATTCCAGCAGCTCAGCCCTACGATGGGATTGATGAAAATGTAGTCTGAGTGTCCAAATTTAGTTTTGGTATGAATGTCTCAGCTAAAAATGAAAGAACAAGAAATCTAATTGCACACTAGAGAGACACTAAAGGCATTGGAAAAAACTTGTGAATTTTTTTAAAGTGAGTAAAGTGTTGGAAGGATCAATCTACTGAATCATAAAGATCAAAAGTTGGAGAATTCAAATGTTTATTAAGATGTCCACTATTTATAAGGTGTCTTTGTTAATGAGTATAAGAGACACAAAGAAATAGAAGATCATTGCTCTCAACTAACTTATTATATAGCTAAATATTTTATAATAGCTAAATATGTCAAGCACATATAATCCTCGCAATAGCTATGCAAAATTCTGTTACTCTGTTCCCAGTTTTATATGTGAGGAACAGAAAAGTCCGGGGGCTTGCCCAAGGTTTCACAGTTGGTAAACAGGGAAGCTGGCCTTCAGTTCCAGGCAGCCTGACTTTGGAATTTAACCAGTAACTAGTGGTATGTTTTATTCCCAGTCTGGTTGGAGAGACAGATATCTATGAGGTGTCTAAACATTTTTTTTTTTTTTAAATTTAAGACCATACAAACAATATCACAATAGTTTAGAAATATATTTCTTACATAATTACTATTATTTGTTCAAATATAGGCAAACTCCTATCATGCTTCTATGGTGATTTAAGCCATTTCTTGAAATTTGATAAGATTTGAATACAAAGAAAGAACGTTTCATCTGAAAGCTTGACTGGGATAAGAAGATAGTAAATAAGAAAAGGCAAGAAGCCATGTAAACATCATGGCAGTTACTGAGTTGGTTTGGCTACCTATATAATATGTTTTGATATATAGTAGCAAAGAGAAATGATGTGGAGTAAAAGACTAAGCAGTTGTATTATAATACAGTGCCTTAAGGACAAGGAAATTTTCTTTCTTTCTCATATAACCATATGGGGAAGGTAGATGTTTTGTCACCGTGCTCCACGTATTCATCCAGGAACCCAAGTAAGCCAGGCAGCTCTGCTTCTCTTTGACACATGGTTTCCATTATTGCTCTAGATGTCATCATTTAAAGCACATTGGGAAGGGAAGGACATGGATGTGTGCTCTTGAAATGCTTTAAGGCACAAAAGCACTTAATCTTATATTCCATTGGCCAGAACATAGTCACATGGCTATAACTAGTCACAATAGTGATGTTCCACACCAAGATACACTCTTGGAGTGGAACTGGGGAGAATATTTAACATTTCTTTGTAATTAAAGTAATTTATATCTAAAAGAAAAAGTTAAAAAATTAGATGATTATCCAGGGTTGATTGACTCTATTGTAATAGACTCTCTCTCAAAATAGTTGTGGAGGAAGGGGAGTTTGCAAAGTCTGACTAGAATATAAATATGTGATTGCCTTATTTTGGTTTTATTTTAGCTTCCTTGTGGTCACAGATGCAAAGAGATGTGTCATCCTGGTGAATGTCCCTTTAATTGCAACCAGAAGGTGAAACTTAGATGTCCTTGTAAAAGAATAAAAAAGGTAAATATTTTAAGTTATTGAAAATACTTTTTTATGTAAAAATTTTCTTTGTGTTTTGGTAGTTCTTTTTGCCTTTTGATTTTAAGATCTTATTTTTTAGAATCGTTTTATTGTTAGCCTGTTTCTGTAAATACTTATTTTGAAAATCAGCTTTGTTTGGCAATTTAGTTTTCTGTAATTTATTCATAAAATAACTTTGTCTTGTATTGGAATCAAGTTCAGTGCCCTTTTTTGGGTAGAGTGAATATGCTCTAGCTTTGAGGTCTTTGTACAAGGAACACAGTGTGAGTAATAAAGTGAGTTTCATGGTTTAGGAAATGGTCCGGAATTAACCTTTGTTGCTCTTGTTTATGAAACAGTTTTTGCCATCAGTATCAAGTTGTGAAAACAGCCTTAAAGAGACTTCACATGCATAGCCTTATAAAATTAGAAAATAACAACCTCGGGGAGAATTCATTTTAAGGTAGAGGTAATGGAGGATTAAAAGGGCGAAACTAATGATTGGAAAGCTCGATGGTAGCAAACTACACACTGTTCATCTAAGCTTACAAAGGAAGAGACTCACTGTTACCGGATGGCAGTGGCTGGGTGGTCTTGTTTTCAGCTCTCCTTTTCCTGGACTTCCCTGTTCACACTGTCCGCCTCTGATTTCTGCTATCTTGGTTAAAGTTGCAACTCCTTTTTTTCTTCATGTTCTTAGAGTCATCCCCTAAAGCTAGTCTTTTCCTTTTCTTTAAATTCACTCTTATATTCATCCATCCAGCAAGTATTTTTTGAGAATCTTTTGCTTTTACTGAGGATCTTTGCTTTTCATTTATTTTCACAGCTTTTGTTCACTTCCTTGGGTAGGTAACTTCTGAATTTAAATGTATAGGCCTGACCTCTTCTGGAGTTGAATCCATAGGTTTTAGATATTTAAATTGGACCATCTTTTTTTTTTTTTGAGATTTATTTATTTATTTTTTAAGATTTTATTTATCTCAGAGAGAGCGAGCACATGCATGTGCAGGGTGAAGGGCAGAGGGCTGAGCAGGGAGCCCAATGCGGGACTTGATCTCAGGACACCAGGACCATGACCTGAGGCAAGAGTAGACACTTAACCGACTTGAGCCACCCAGATGCCCCTAAATTGGACCATCTTTATGTGAAAATCAATGCTTGGTCACGCCATTTTAATCTGAGATGTCTCTCAAGTTTTCTCTCATCTCATGTTACTGTCCAAGTGCAGTTGCCACCCACTAGAACTTTGGCAACAGCTCATTCTTGGACTTTAAGAACAGCTTCATAACAGATTTCCTTGCCTCCAAGCATAATAATTACCCTAATCTAAGTTCTTCAGTGGTTCTTCATCACTTATGGGAAGAAATACGCATTTAAAAGAAACATGTATGCACATATAGACTTGGCATTCAAGGGAATCTATGATGGTACCTTTGCCTGCTTGTCTCCGCTCTCATCCTCCAGCAGTCATCCTGTGACTCTGTTATTTAAGTGCCCTAACATATATGCTATACTCCCTTTTAATCTGTGGCAATGTAGACATTCTTTCTTTTCTGTAAAATGCCAAGTTTTTTCCCTTTACTGTTCCGTTTACTAGAATCCTGCTAGTACTCAGTGCAAGCATTTCCTTGTTTGGGAAGGTCTTCCTTCCCCTGACTCTCTTGCGAAGACTTAGATGCTGTTTCTGCTTGGTTTTCTTTATTCTAGGTTCATGACTAAAAGCTTTGTGATTCTAGGGATGTCTGTAACCTTGTTTTCTCATCCATAAAATAGAGTTTATGTGTAGATTTATTGAAAGGAATGAAAGAGGTAATGCTTATATAGCATTTAGCACAATGATTGTTAATGTTTAATAAATAATAGCTGCTACTACTTACCACATTATTATATTATTTTTCTTATCGTGTCCCCTGTCCCTAGCAAAGTGCTTTTCATGTAGTAGGTGCTCAATAAGTACCTTGGAATGAGGAAGGGTAGGATCCTTCTTTCAGGCTGATAGACTTAATAACTGCAAACACAATATTTATTTTTGTCTTTAATGTTTGTATATGTTATTTTTTCTTTGGACTATCCCTGGCGGACTCTGTTTATCACAGCCTCAGCCAAAAATGAAGAACTAAAGTGAGGAAAAAAACCCTCTAAATAATAAAATTCCATGCTATAAAGTGTTTTCATTAAAGTATGTGTACTTTGCTCATAGGTTTGATGATCACATATCTTAACTCTGGTAAATGTAAACTAAAAAAAATAGTATCTGAGAGTGTGGTAAGACAGGAAAATTTGATATAGACAGGTACCCTTAAGAGCAAAAGTGATATCTGTCAGCAATAAAAAGATAGATAAAACATCTGCAAAAGCAAATTCTAGGACTTTAAAATAAGGACCACTTATTCGAATAGTTCACAAATCGATTATAGGATTGATGTCACATCATCAAGAAAAGAGTAGATTAGGTTTTTATTGTTTCACTAAGGAGGCATTGAAGTGCAAACGTAAACTTTAGACCAATTTTAAAAAATTTTTAAACTTTTTAAAAAATTAAATGGTTGAGAGGAAAATTTGTAGCTCTCCAGAAAATTCTCTAGAACTGCATGAGTTGGTAGCCATTAGCCACATATTGCTGTTTATTTATTTGAATATTTTTTAGCTTTATTGATGCATAATTGACAAAAATTGTATATATTTAAGATGCACACATGGGGGCACCTGGGTGGCTTAGTTGTTAAGTGTCTGCCTTCGCCTCAGGTCATGATCCCAGGGTCCTGGGATCGAGCCCTGCATCGGCTCACTGCTCTGCGGGAGGCCTGCTTCTCCCTCTCCCGCTCCCCCTGCTTGTGTTCCCTCTCTCGCTGTCTCTCTTTCTCTCTGTCAAATAAATAAAATCTTTAAAAAAATAATGCACACATGATGATTGTGTATACATACACACTGTGAAATGATCACAGCAATCAAGCTAATTGACATTTACCACCTGGTTACCATTTCTTTGTGGTGAGAACACATTCTACTCTCTTAGCAAATTTAAAGTATATAATACAGTATTATTAACTATAGCAAGCATGCCATATATTAGATTCCTCAGAACTTACTCATTTTATCACTAAAAATTTTTACCCAGTGACCAATTTCTCCACATTTCACCTCGCCCCTAGCTCCTGGCAATCTCCATTCCCTTCTTAGCTTTTCTAATTTTTTAGATTCCACGTATTAGATCATACAGTATTTGTCTATCTATATCTGTCTTATATTACTTAACCTGATTGTCTCCATGTTCATCCATGTTCTCTAAATGGCAGGATTTCTTTCTTTTTTGTGGCTAAATAATATTCCATTATTGGTAGATAGGTGGGCAGATCACATTTTCTTCATCCATTTATCCACTGATGGACACATACCTTGTTTCCATATCTTGGCTATTGTGAATAATGATGCAGTGAACGTTGGAGCACAGATATTTCTTACTTTTTTCATTTCCTGGATATGTATCCGAGAGTAAGACTGCTGGAACCTGTATTAGATCTATTTGAAATTTTTTTAAGAAGGCTCCATACTGTTTTTCATACTGGCAATACTAATTTACATTCCCACCAACACTGTACAAGATTTCTTTTTTTTTTCCTATATTCTTGTCAACACTTGTTATCTATTGGCTTTTCAATTATAGTTATTCTAACAATTGTGGGTTGATTATCTCATCGTGGTTTAGATTTGCATTCCATGGTGATTAACGATGTTGAGCACACTTGCATGTATCTGTTGGCACACATACAGCTAAATTTGAATTTTAATGAATCAACATGAAATAGTAGTAAACATTCATTTCCTCGATTTCACTGGCCACATTTTGAGTTTTCAGTAGCCGTGTGTAGTCAGTGTTCCTCCTTTGAATAGCACGGATGTAGAACATTTTTATTGTCTCAGAAAGCTGCATTGGGTGGCACTACTCTGGAGCATTTTATAGCACAAAACAATAAAGAAAAATAATGAAAAGGAAATTGAAGCCAAGTTGATAGTGGCTCTTAGTAAATAATTATTAAATGGATGCTTTAAATTTTATGGTATTCACTTTTTTCCAGTTAGGAGTAAATAAATAGTAAATAAATAAGTAAATAAATAAAAATGTCTTGATTGTTTGAATCAAGACATTTAATACTTGTAATCATATCATCATTAAATATTCATGAACATGACTTCTAAATAATATGCATAACCTTAAACTGTCAGATATTTTGCTTTTTTATGGCATACGGTTAGGACTCTGAGGACTCTAAAACTCTTTTAAAATCAAATTTTTAAAAAAATGTTATTTGTAGGAATTGCAGTGCAACAAAGTACGTGAAAATCAGATTTCAATAGAATGTGACACAACATGCAAGGAAATGAGGCGGAAAGCATCTGAGGTAATGTCATGTTAAATGTCATTTTTTTTTTTTAAAGAGAGATAGTGTGAGTGAGCACGGGGTTGGTTGGGGGAGGGACAGAGAGTGAGGGAGAATCTCAAGCAGACTCCCCACTGAGTGCAGAGACCGACACAGGGCTCGATCTCACAACCCTGAGATTATGACCTGAGACAAAATCAGGAGTCAGATGTTTAACCAGCTGAGCCATCCAGGTGCCCCAAATGTCATTTTTAATGTGCTAATGAGTGGCCTTTTCCTATTTATTTTGTGCATTACTTTATGTGCTTACTACAAAGAACTCAAAATCTCATCTTTTTTGCTCTTATAAGCAAGCCTAGTGTTTTTTCTTTTTTAAGACTTTTTTTTAATTTATTTGAAAGAGAGAGTGAGAGAGAGAGCATAAGCAGGAAGGAGAGGGAGAAGCAGACTCCCTGCTGAGCAGGGTGCCTGAAGTGGGGCTCAATCCCAGGACCCTGGGATCATGACCTGAGCTGAAGGCAGATGCTTAACCAACTGAGCCACCCAGGCGCCCCAGGAAAGCCTAGTTTTGTAGACCTATTTTGAATCCCCAAGTGTGCTCTTTATTGTCTAATGTGTACTAGATTTTCTTTCCATCCTTGTACCACCAGTTTTAGTATATGTGCTCCAGAACATAGTTGTTCATCTTAATGTTAGTGTAAGCCTCCTGAAAGTTAGGTTAAACTAATACAAAGTAAGGGGCACCTGGGTGGCTCAGTCGTTAAGCGTCTGCCTTCGGCTCAGGTCATGATCTCAGGGTCCTGGGATCAAGCCCCGCATCGGGCTCCCTGCTCAGCGGGAAGCCTGCTTCTCCCTCTCCCACTCCCCCTGCTTGTGTTCCTTCTCTTGCTGTTTCTCTCTCTGTGTCAAATAAATAAATAAAATCTTTTAAAAAATAATAAAATAATACAAAATAAGATTTTGGAATTCTTTGCTGTTTGGGTTACCTCTAGTGTCACTATTTCCCTCCATCAATCCAATTAATGAATAAACTCTTGATTTTGCTTAACACTAAGGATTCCCTTCCAGATAGGGCATTTATGGAAAATCGTCAATTTCAACTCTAGAAAAAGAGTGGTATTTAATAATTTGTTATAGACTTAGTATGGTAACTCGAGAAAAAAAATCAGTTTTAACACTTTCGTTTTGCAGTTTTGTAATTCTTTGAATTGTAATCGAATATCTATTAAGTTGTTAAGCTGAAATGTTTATATAAAGGATAACACTATCCCTCCCCTCACCTCACCGTCTGTTAGAACCTTGGTAACACCTCAGTGTAACATTTACATGTCTTTAGGTAATTTCCAATATAAAGTTACCAAAAGTTGTTATGGGTTAGTGGATCCTGGGTGGGAAGATGTTAAAATTCTAAATAAAATTTGATGATTACAATGTTAATTCGCTTTTAAATGTCTATAAACAGATAAAAGAGGCAGAAGCCAAAGCTGCTCTCGAAGAGGAAAAACGAAGACAACAGGTAACTCAACAAAATATTTATGTCTCTTTGTATCATTGTTAGTTTTTATGCAAACACAAGGTATATTCCACAGAAAAACTGGGAGCCAGTCAACTGTTCCCTGGACTGAAAATAATATAGTTCCTACAAAATGAAAATCAGCCACTCACTCAGTTCAGTTCAACTATACTGAACCTCTGAAAAGGCATGAAATCTTGTATATTCCCAAATTTACTTCCTTGCCAGGCTCATCCATTCTCTAGTGATAAGAGTTTTAGCTCCTCCTTTGGTTGGTGGATGGGGTTGGAGTGTGGCAGCATCCATTTTAAGGCATCTCCTGGAGCCCATGTCTTCACTCACCTAAACGTATTTGAGTTCTGTTTTGCTGACTTGCAGATTGTCTGTAAAAATGAGTGTTGTTTACTAACCAATGCATTTACTTTAACAGTATATTGCCTTATTTCCCTTTTAGATTCCTAAATGCAAGATTATTATCTGTTCTTTGCTATATAGGAGATAACAGCTACATTCCTGATATCCTGTTTGCTCAAGTACCATATTGGTCATATACTCCAAAGAGTGATTTAACTTTCTAATAGTGACATATAATTATTTGTCAGTTTGCATTTTGAGATGCTTATACTTAGCAAGAAGGGTATATTATATGCAAACTGTGGCCTTTTGAATGAGGAAATTAAAATTTGTATGACTTCAGGGGAGGACATTGGAAACAATTTAGGTAGCAATAAAGGTGGGCTAAAATGACCTCTGATGTTATATGGTTCTATAAAGTTGATTTGCCGAATATTCCAAAATAGGTTCAGAGCTATTACACTAAAACATGGATTGACTGGAATCCTGGGAGATTAACTTATTAGGAATAGTTTAGGGTGAACCTTCTTCCCCTTTTTCTAAACCATTTGGATGGAAATTTTAAATACATTCTCTATTTACTGACCTTTTAAACAGAGTGTATGGAACATAATTTAAACTATAAATGATGACTGTGGGTCATTATTAAAGCATTAGTTATTGTACTGTGCCAGTTCTCAAGTTTGGCTGCTGTTAATGTATTTTGATCTTGTTCTCCGTTTCAACAACAACTTGAGAGTATTCTGACATCTTGGTTCATTGAAGAATGCTTCTTTGTGTTAAATTAAGTATAGGATTAGGGCATCTTCAAATGTGGTTTATTGGCAAAGTAATGGATATATTAACTGAAGTTTGTACAGTTGAACCTTGAATGACACAGGTTTAATCTGTTTCAGCTGTGCGGGTTCACTTTTGTGTAGCTTCTTTTCAGTATCTACAGTACAGTCCTGTAAATGTATTTTCTCTTATGATTTTCTTAGTAACATTTTCTTTTCTCTAGCTTACTCTATTGTAAGAACACAATATATGATACATACAACATACAAAATATGTGTTAATCAACTGTTATTGGTAAGGCTTCCAGTCAACAGTAGGCTATTGGTAGTTAACTTTTTGGGGAGTCAAAAGTTATATGTGGATTTTCGACTGTGTGTGGGGTCAGCACACCTGACCCCTGCATTGCTCAAGGGTTAACTTATATTTCCTTCTGTTAAATAAACAATTACAGAATCTTGCATGGATATTACATATATATTTTTTAGTTGATGACTATCATGTTTTAGTTACGATGCACTGTAGTATATCATGTTACATTACCCTGTATAAAGTTAAGTAACTTCTTAACAGTAGAATAAAAATCCACATTTTATAACAAGTATCATCCAGTTATCCTTTTTTAGGACCAGTTTTTATATAATTCTACTTTCTAAAATTGTTATTTCGTTTAAAGCATGAGCATTTTTCCCCTGAACAATTTCTACTCTGCTTTTAAATATACTTGTTAAAGATAATTCTGGAAGTTTTTTCCCCTACTCACTTGAATTTCTTTCATACAAGCCATTAATGTTTATTATCAGCATTGTAAAAAAACTAGAATTATAGGTATTCATTCACTGGGCATCTCTTAGCACTTGCTAGAAGCTGTATATTATAGAAACCCAACAGATTAATGGTGTTGAAGTATAAAATTAATGTCTATATTTAGGGCACCCTGATTTAATCAGATGTTTGTATATTTAGTGTCGGGGCTCCTGGGTGGCTCAGCTGGTTAAGCGTCTGCCTTCAGCTCAGGTCCTGATCTCAGGGTCCTGGGATCAAGCCCCCTGGTCATCATTGTCATCAGGCTCTCTGCTCAGTGGGGAGTCTACCCCTCCCTCTCCCTTGTCCCTCCCCCCGCCCCCGCAACCCAGCTTATGCTCTCTCTCAAATAAATAAAACCTTCAAAGAAACTCGAAGTAAATAAATAGGGATGCCTGGGTGGCTCGGTCGGTTAGGCATCTGTATTTGGCTCGGGTCATGATCCCAGAGTCCTGGGACCATGTTGGGCTCCTTGTTTGGTGTGGTGGAGAGCCTGCTTCTCCCTCTGCCTGCCGCTCCCCCGCTTGTGCTCATGTGCACGCGCTCTCTCTCTGACAAATAAATACGATCTTAAAATAAGTACATAAATAAAAATAAAAATAAATAATGTCAAAGTCAGGCTTATGGTCTGAAATAATCTCTTTTGTTACTGCCCCATTTCCCTTTCTGCCTACCTAAATGAATTTGTTGAATACAGTCTATAATGGATAGAGTTTTTTGAAAAAATCAAATCAATGTATTTATTACATACCATTACTATTAAAACATTTGGCACATTGATTTATTTTCATCTGGAAAATTTCAAGTCAATGTATGTATTGAATTTAATAAAAATGATACTGTTTTGGTTTTTGATTTAGGCTGAACTGGAGGCTTTTGAAAACAGACTGAAAGGTCGTCGGAAGAAGAACAGGAAAAAAGATGAAGTGGCAGTTGAGCTAACGCTATGGCAGAAATACAGATATTATCTCCTTCCAGCGTGTACACTTGTGGTTTTAGTGTTTGCATGGTACATAGTCCATGATGTGGCTTAAAAACTTCTGATCTGTTCATATACCTCAGATTGGATTTAGATAAGTTGTTCACTCTGGAATATTAGGAAGTGTATACTGTAGAACATATCTATTCACATTCCTCTCTGTATTTTCTTCCAGCTGTTGTTAAAAGGACAGAATGTTAAGCTTTATCTTAATTAGCATACTAGAAGTGGCAATATAACATTTTTAATAGTAAAAGCATGACTGAAATTGTAAAATATCTCATAAGCCATAGCCATTGGCAGGGTAACACGTCAGTTGTTCATTGTGCTTCCTTGTGTTAACATAGTTGTTTTGCTTCCTATTTCAAACCAACTTTCTTTTTTTTTGCAAAATTAAGATGAAACTGAGCCATATGTGCAGTAAAGGACTATGTCACAATGTTTTGGTTACTTATTAAAAGGTACTTTTCTTGATCATGGTTTCTTGATCATGTAACTTTGTACTTTATTCTCTAAAAGACCTCTTAAATTGTAACATGAAGCTATATAATTAGATTCCAGAAATTGGTTTATTAGTGAAGAATTTTTATCAGTTACTGAAATAAATTTTTATGTAGTAGGTACCTCAGAGGAAAATATAATTGTTTTTTAAAAAAAGCCAGGCTAGATTCCTCACATGTGGCTATTTCTTGTGTAAGAAGCATTTAACTGAAGTTTGGCATGTTTTGTAAAACTTGTATGTGTCTTTCCAAAGTAATAATTAAAAAACCTGGTATTTATGAGCAATAGATGCTGAGCACAGGGCTTATGAGCTTTATATACTTATTCTCATTTCTTCTTACCATGATCCTGTAAGTAGATTTCAGCTGGAAGTAATCAGTTCTTATTAAAACAAGCTGATAGAGAAATATCAGTAAGCCAAATCTGTTTGAATTGTCATTTTAAATGGTTTTGCTATTTAATTTTTGTATGATTAATGTTTTCATTAAAATTTTTCATACCAAATTTGTAACCTAGAATATTTACTATTATCTAATAGTAATAAAATTATAGTCAGGAGCCTATAATTTTAGGCTAGGTGTTAATATCACTGTATAAAATCTCTAATACTTGATGCAAAACATAATTATTGATAGACACTAAAAAGTATAGAAGTATGTTTTAAACAAGTACAAAGAAGGCTTTCTAAACTTTGCTGACTTTAATGCAAAATTTATGAATGTTCTGTTCTTTCATCTAGTGTTAGTGTCTAAAATGAAAGGGCAGTCATTCCTTTCATTATGGTATTTGTGTTTTGACTTCAGATTTTTTTTCTTTCATACCTTTCTCAATGCTAGAGTACCTGGGTTGTGTTTCAGAAGCTCTAAATTAGAGCTGCTACACTCAAGTCATTTCTTTACTCAGAAATGAATATTAAAGACTGAACAACTAGGTGTCTACCTGGGGAGCTGTTTTCATGTATCTCAGAATTTCGGCCTAATAAACAAGCCTGAAGCCTGTTTCCTATCTGTTTGTTGGGCTTCTGTTCTGGCTAGTTTTCTTTCTAATTTGTGGGGAAGAATTTAGTGAGCAGAGAGAGGAGATTGAATGAATGAATAATAAATTAAGCTGTTTACTGTTTTTTATTTGCTTCATTAATTTACCTAAAGGTACGCACTGTTTAATCAACAGATATGCTTCCTGTGTGATAGGTACTTTGTAGGTACTAGAGATAACCCTGATCCTTTCTCTTGGGGAGCTGGTAAGGAGCGGAAGAGGGCAGGCAGGAAATAGATACTCAGTAAAATAGACATCCTTTCATGTGTGGTAAGTGGTGTTTAAGAATGAAATGGTACAGAAAGTGATGAAAAAGGGGGAGAAAGGTTACTAGCAGCTTTAGATTGGGAAAGTCCTGCTGAGATGGGGACATCCAAACTATGACCTGAATGATCTCCATTTGAAGATCTGAGGGAAAGGTCCATGAGGGAGGGAAAGTAGCAGGTACCAAGTCCGGAAGCCCCATAGACCATGGTGAGGAATTAGGGTTTATTCCAGTCACAGTGGGCGGTGTTGGAAGGTTGTCAGTGGGGGAGTAGTTGCTGTCCTTAAGATGACTCGCTGCTGGCTGCTGGTGGAGACAAGAGTGTAAGGGGCAGGGGAGGGAGGTGGGTTGGGAGGCAGCCCAGGCTGGAGGTGCTGCTGAGGCTGGGCTCCAGTTCCCCACCGCCCTTGAATGCCCTTGAATGCCCTTGAAGGCCCTTGAATGAGTAGCAGGTGTGAGGAAGCCCTGGAAACAGCTGTGTGATGAGTGGAAGGGGAGTGAATCAGACAGGATAGAGGAAATAAGTTCTTTAAGGTCAAAATGCAGTTCAATTGGGCCTAAATATATACATGAATTTGTTCTGAGGGAAATAAAGCAGTACATTTTGGCCTTTTTTGCTTCAATCTGAACCAATTAGAGAAGGACTGAAAAAGTTACCAAATAGCCACTAGGAATGACACAGATAAAATTGTGAATGTGTTGGCCTTATCAAACTTCTCCACTTTGTGTCATTGTAAAAGTTGGATGAGCTTACTGTTTGAAATTTGGGGCATATTTATGTTGAAATTTTAGTTTTTCAGCTTAAACTTTTAGGGATTGATCTAAAAAGTGTTTCTGTTTCAATTACTTTCCCTATTCAAGTCCAAATTAAATTCAGATAATCTCAAATAAATTGGTATAGTCTTTGCTGAAATTGCCAGAGGAACTTTATTGAAGCAAAACTTTGAAAACATTTGCTTTTTGCAAAGAAGTCTGATGCTTGAACTTCATGGCTATGAATGTTAAAAATTTTAAACACAGGTAAGTATCTGTCATAATGTTTAAAGATGACGTAAAGCACTTTTGGCTCTTCATGTTATTTCAAATGACCCAGGTATCTCCAGCTGTTACATTTGCCCATCCCTGGGTGTTAGAAAGTGAGGCAGATGTTTAAGCTCTGGAGCTAGAATTGATGTAGGGCAGCTATGTCTCTTCTCTGGTCTGCAGAAGTCGTCCTCTGTATTGAGTGGCAGTGATTAGACCACCCTAAGCCTTGGGCCGTAGAGTCTACTTATAAGTTGGTGAGCTGCATAGAGGGAAGAAGCACCCCCTAGAAAAGATGTGAATTTGGCGGTGGGGAGAGGGAGGAGCTGGGAACCCCTCAGCTCTCCAGAAACTCTTAAGGGACAAGAGACCAGGTGTTCACCTGGAAAACCATTTTCTTTTTTTTTTTTTTTTAAGATTTTATTTATTTATTTGACAGAGACACAGCGAGAGAGGGAACACAAGCAGGAAGAGTGGGAAGGGAGAAGCAGGCATCCCGCGGAGCAGGAAGCCTGATGTGGGGCTCGATCCCAGGACCCTGGGATCATGACCTGAGCCGAAGGCAGACGCTTAACCACTGAGCCACCCAGGCGCCCCACCATTTTCATGTATTGCAGAATCTTGGTCTGTTGAGGAAGTTTAGGTCTCCTATTTGCTGTGCTGCCCCTCTTGCTAAGTTCTCAGTGTGGGGGCATGTATTTATGTGGTACTGTGAAGAATCACCCACATACAGCCTGAAATTCCACAGTCTAGATTCATTTGAGTTAAAACACTTTTAGAGAGACCTTCCCTTTTCACCATCATCTGGCCATCCTCTATCTTAACAGTATTTTTCCCTCGTAGCACCATACCTGTCAATGTATTACGTATTTATTGTCTCATCTCCTTCACTAGAATGTAAGCTCCATGAGGGCAGGAGTGCAGTTTGTTTACTGATGTAACCCCAGAGTGGGCATGCCTAGCCACATAGTAGATGCTGGTATTAGTTTTCTCAGGCTACCATAGCAAATTACCACAAACAGGCTTGAAACAACAGAAATTTATTCTCTCACAGGGCAGGCGGTCAGAAGTCCAAAATCAAAGTGAAAATAGGTAGGTTCGTTCTGGACACTGAAAACTGTTCCATGCCTCTCTTAGCTTCTGGTTATGGGCGTCAGTCTTTGGCTTGTCCTGGCTTGTAGACATAATCCCAATCTCACCTCCATCTTCATATGACCTTCTTCTCTGTGTATGGGTTCTTTTCTGTCTCCTATAAGGACACTCTTTGTATTTAGGGTCCACCCTGAGCCAGTATAATCTCATTTTAACTAATCACATCTGCAAAGACCCTATTTCCAAAGGAGGAAGGCGACATTGTCAGGTTCCAAAGGGACATTAAATTTTGGGGGTGGAAGAGGGGCAGTATTCAACCCACTGCAATGCTCGCTATTTGATGGACGGATGAATGAATTCACAGTGTAATTCTAGGCTGTAAACTCCTTGGGTAGTTTTCATTACTCTCTTCATAATCGTGCTGCAGAAGGTAGGGTTTAACAGGTCAGTCTGGTCCCAGATTGCTTGGGCTCCAATTCTGGTTCTGCCACTTCCTAACTGTGAAATCTCGGGCAATTACTGAACTTCTGTAAGCCTCAGTTTCCTCTCGTAAAATAGTAACATTAAACGTCAGCTATTTTGTGTCTGCGACTATCTTAAAGCACTTTACATTTTTAAAATTCTCACATAGCCTGTGTATTCGCATTTTACAAGAAAGGAAAATAGGTTTGTTTTAAGAATTAAAAACAAAATAGGGGCGCCTGGGTGGCTCAGTTGTTAAGCGTCTGCCTTCGGCTCAGGTCATGGTCCCAGGGTCCTGGGAGCCCCACATCGGGCTCTCTGCTCAGTGGGAAGCCTGCTTCTCCCTCTCCCACTCCCCCTGCTAGTGTTTCCTCTCTCATTGTGTTTCTCTCTGTCACATAAATAAATAAAATCTTTAAAAAAAAAACAAACAACCAAAATAGGTAAGTCACTTTGTGAAGTACTTGGAACATACTGGTTAGAACATCTTAGCTATAATAATGGATAAATGTGACTTAATCTCATAATTTTAAGACCCCTGTTACAAATTGATTAATGAATCAGAGAAAAAGAAATCTTGTTGTGAACTGAGGCACCTCAGTTTTTGCTCACGCGGTCGCTGTCATTGAGGGCGCACTATTCCTGGGAAGACCAGGCGGAATGCTGGCCAAAGGTAGCGGCATTTCGACAAATTGCAGTAAGTACCCAGGTGGGGGGAGGGGAACAGCACTAGGTGTGCGAGAACGCTAAAATAAAATTCCTTTGGAACTTTCGCTGGGCCAGTTCTTACTAACTTCTTCCCAAACGACTGTTCTGGTGTATTAGAGGAGGGGATTGTGTCCTAGTAATACATTCAGTAAACGGAATGTCTACACAGGTTACTTTTAACATGCAGAATATTTCAGTGTGCAGATATAGGTATGTCTTTTTTCTTCTTTTAAACAAAAAAACTCTCCCCTCCCTGCAACAGGTAAACTCCCAGTTTGCCTGTTTCTTGCTCTTTAAGATTTTTAAAAAGCCAGCATCTTTAGATAGCAGCTAAAAAGTTTACATTCTAAATTCCACATTATTTTCAAGTATCTTTCCATAGCTTATATATGTGTACATTTGTTTAGTGTATTTATTCTACTAGACTGAAAGTTCTTTGAGGGCAGGAACTCTTACTTTGTTCATCTGGCAGCTAGCAAATCCTAAATGAGTATTAGTTGAATGAGTAACTAAATAAGCCGTAGGGTAGCATCTCTATCTTAGGACTGCTTGCCTACTATCATCCTGGGATGCTGGCCGCCTCTTTAAAATATCTCTTGTTGTCAAATTGCCTTCATTCGTAGTACTAAGCACTAAATAGGCCTGTAATATATGTGACCAAAGTTTGATCTCTAAAATCACCCTTTCCAGAGGTATATTCACAACCTTTAAGTTGATTTTCCCACAAATCTCTTCAAGGTTTGTATTTTTTATTTTAAATTATCCAATTAGCTGGATATAATGCTAGACAATAAAAATTTCAAACGGCTCGAAACGTTTCTTGTGAAATTAAAATATTTTAAGAAACTAACTGATGGTTGTCACTCTAAGCTGAAAAGCAAATGTGGCAAATTTTTAAAAGAATAATTCAGATAGGTCATTGAAGATTACTGTGGGCCCTCTGCATAGTCAAAGAACTTTGGATATGTTAGGAGACTTCTCACATTTTTGTGATTTCTTACATTATAAACCTTTGTTACGAAGTCTAAAAATAGATGTTTACTCTCATGCTAACAATACTTCAAGTATTCACCCTGGTGCACTGGTAATGAGAACTAGTTGGGGGGTTTTTTTGCTGGAAAGAAGTTTAAAGAATTCTTATTTTACATCAGCAATGTAAGCAGCTTTAGTTCTCAGAACATAGTGTAGTTGTGGAAGAGAGAGGGACACTTGTCTACCCACACTGGCGATCTCAAATCCACTGACG